GCCTTGGGTCATGATGCTAACTTGTTTCTCTTGACTTAATGAGGCAGAATATAGATAGAATTGGGTAAAGTTTTGGTACTGGTGCCCTGGGTGATGGGAATGGTGATCATCCCGTGTTCAAGCAACAGGAACAGCCACGTACTTCATAAGTCTGGTTGAAATAGCAAGTTGATTATTTCAAGGTTAGGTGGTTTCACATCTCGGGTGACTGTGGCTGCTCAATATATTATGGGAGAAACCCTGGGAGAAAGAAACCAACAGAAAAACCTTTAAAGAAGCTAAGTGTGTTTGGATCTGGAAATGTGAAATTTCCAGGGTGGTTGCTTGCTGGCCACGATGCTAAACATGGACTTCTTAGTTTGGTGCTAATAGACTTCCTCTCTTGGCACTCATGGGGCTCTCTGTCTTTCCTAATTTTGAAGAATTAGAATTAATATGAATATTCTAGTCATCATTTCTTTATTTTAGCCTGACCAGTTTGTTTTTTGTTTTGTGACAAGTCACAGCCGCTTAGGCTTGTTATGTGCCCTACTTTACAGAAAACAGTCCTCTATTTCTAAGGCTCTCAGAGGACGATCCTCTATTTGGAGGCATTAACTGTTAATGTAAATAGTTTTCTATTGCAATTCTAATTTAAAGATAAACAGTCCAAAGAAGGGGTAAGTCAGGGGCCTTGAAGTTGCCCATCAGCAGTTAGCATCTGAACAGTAGAGTGAGCAGACACATGGATTTCCTAGTCACGATCTTTGCCATTATGGTGAGGTGTTTTTTCCCCCCTCTGGAAAGAAAGGGGGAAATTATAATATGCAAATTTAATGCAAACCTGTGTTTCCTTTTGACCTCTTTTTTGGTGTTGCATTTCTTGATGTGCAAGTGGCCACAGCACACTCACATGGGAGCCATTTCGTGAGAGTGCCCATGATCAGTATGTCCATCGGTTAAGTATTTCATGCCCACAGGTTGGCTCCTGAAGTACTTGCCTCACCACTCTGTGAATTCTAAGCCTATCCCTAGCTGACTTTGTAATTATGATTAGCTTTTTAATAGATGTTTTGGGAATGGGAGAATATAAAAAGTACATTAGATAAATGTGTGTCCCGGCAGAGTGTTTTAGACAAATACAGTGACTGCAGATCCTATTAATGGATCACAAATCACAATATATTTGAAGTCTTTTTATTTATCTAACCTTTTACAATGCATGAAAATGGTTTTGGTCCTTTAGGGTGCACTGCTGCACCATACTTCAAGTTTTCTTTGTGGTCTTGTGGGGTTTCTTTGTGGTGTTGACAACTAAAAATGATGCAATTTCTTTGGTGAGGGTTGGGCAAGAGAAGTTCAAGGGAAAGAGTCAGTTGAATCTGATTCTAAGGAATTGCCAAACCAGTGAAAAGCATGTTCTCTATGCACTGATGGCTTTTTACCCCCTTTCTGAGCACTGTGACAACACCTAATGTGCTATACACTCAGTAGTCTTAATTACTGTTTCCTGCCACAGACCTTTCCTGTTCCAGAAAAACAAAGGCAGGTGGAGGGTGAAGCTGTGGACAACAATGCCTAGAAATGCACCACATGCATTTCAGTAGCAGTGCCCATCAGTTCATGCTCCCTGTCCCTCCCATCCTTTCTATTGGGAAAGACCAGATTAAATGTTTGTTAGCTGCTGGTACATGAAGGCAGTTGGTACACCATGTGGAAGCAGTGTTCTGAGGCCCGCTCTTACCCCACCACCTGGCCTTTCCCTAGGGCAGGTGGCCACAATTTTAGCTTGGTCAGCAAGTCCAACCAAAAAGAGTTGACTTCTGCCTAAAGCATAAACAAGCTGTAGGTGGCATTGCCCTGTAAGAACTACAGCAACATTTTGTCCAAAGCATATGGGACAGAGCTTAGTGAATAAACTCTGCTTGGTTTTGGGGGCCTACGTATGTATCAGTGTACGCAGTAAGCCTCAGCGAGCCAAGATTCCATGTGCTATAGCAGGACATGAATCTTTAAGGCTGTGCCCTACCCCATGTAGCATAAAGATGCCTGGGGCTGTGTATGAAATTGTGCATCTACTCAGGTGCAGAGAGAAACTGAGAGTGTAGATGTGGGCATAAGCCTAAGCCCCATCCCCCAGTGCTCTTGGCTTCCACAAAGGGATATAAATGCATTCTCCTGAATGTGCTTACAGAGTTCCTCTGACTGTAAACCTTGATTAAGGCAAAGTTCACAATCACAGAAACTCTGTAAGCATGTTCTGCTGAACCTGCCTAAGGTCCTTCATATGAAGGCATACACAGAAGTCTGGCATGTGAGGTCACTGTAGATGGAGCTTATGTGCATGCTCACAACTCTGTTTCCAATTTAGCTCTACATGCAAACAGTGAAGAGAGCCCATGCCTGCAGAAGACGCAAATAATCCACGAAATGGAAGCTAATTGGCATTTTTTTCTTGTCTGGTTATTTGCAGCCAGGGGTTGTGGGGGGTAGGTTATGAAAAAGGCCAAAAGAATTTTGGGAGGACAAGTAAAGTGATGTCTGTAATAACACTGAACATACCAACTATTGACTTTATATTTAGGACACATGAAGATTTATAGACCTTTGGGGGAATATATTTATTTCTGTAATCAATAAGTCTTGATTTGTGCGAAGCTGAAAATCAATATTTGCTTATTATACCAATCCAACCTGGAGGTCCCAGCTGAAACTCTGGAAGTGTGACACTTCTGATATTTTCTTAGTGTCTGCACTGCATACTGAGATGAATGAATGAATGGACTTTAAATATTAAGGCCTATCATTTTTTATATTAGAGATTTCAAGGCGACATCTTAATCTTTGAGGATGTCATCCCATCAGCCTTCCCCTCAATCTTCCAAATGTCAACCTCAGCAGTCACAGGATCATCAGGCTGTGGAATAATTCTATGGCCTCTGAGATGATGTCAGGAGACCATAGACACGGTTCCTGAATAACACAATTTAAATGGGAGGCTTGTTTTATGGTAAGCAGATGCCAATTTCACTGTGAGAAAGCTTTGCTCTATTTTCTGCTGCCAAGGGAGGTGTGGCTAGTGGCAACACGCACTGGGCCTTTTGGATGGTACCATTCTATTTGTAGAACTTTATCCCAAGAGAAGTTTGATTGGCTCATTGCCTGATGGTTATTAGGCATCAGTGCAGATGTTTTATTTCTTCAGCCTTTTTATGGCTTTTAACTCTATGTTAATTTTGCTAGTTGTTCTTTTGTTTGTTTTTGCTTGTTTGTCAAGCTTTACCGGGCTGAATTTTTGCTGCATCATTGCATATTTTTATTTCTGTGAAGCTGTGGCCAAATGGTGCATAATAACCATCACCATCATTATAACTACAGCATAAAATAATGCAATTTAACAAGCGTGTTGATACAATCATGTTGTTGTTAGTCACAAAGTCGTGCCTGACCTATCACAATCCCATGGACAACATTCTTCCAGGCTCTCCTGTCCTCCACCATCCCTCGCAGTCCACCCAAGCTCACACTCACTGCCCCAGTGACTCCATCCAGCCACCTCATCCTTTGCTGTCCCCTTCTCCTTGTGTCATCAGTTGTCCCCAGCATCAGGGTCTTCTCCAGTGAGTCCTTCCTTCTCATTAGGTGGCCAAAGTATTTGAGATGCATCTTCAGAATCTGGCCTTCTAAAGAGCAGTCAAGGTTGATTTCCTTTAAGATTGACTGGTTTGATCTCCTTGCTGAACCCAGAAGAAACAGAAATAAGGGAGGAGAGAGCCAGACTGTTCCTGAAACCATAGGAAATCGGCCTTCTGAAAAGGAAAAAGAAGGGGGCATGGACCTGAATAATCCAAAGGTGAAACATCAGTGAAGGAGGAAAGACCAGTGACAAAGAGTGAGAGAGTACAAGCGGTTGTGGTTCTGAGAAATCGGGACCTGCATTGAGACTTTGGCTTTTAAGATTTTGGTTACTGGGAAGTGGAGGGCATGAGTTGATTCTAATTAGTCTGAAATCAGTATTCACTGGGTCATAGTGCATTAATGACCTGATTTTACAGAAAGCTCACACAACTTGATTCGTTTTTATTCATTTCTGTAATTGCTTATTCTGTAACCCAAAGCCAGCTTTGCTTGCTTGCAGTTTAGCATAGTAAAACCCTGTTGCATAGAACGGTTCTTGTGCTTCAGGAGAGAAGGAAGAGAAGTAACAGCAGTTAATTTTCGTGTGGACTTGCTCTGGTTAACTTACTCCAAGCGAGGCATCTGAGCACAAATAGGCTGATAGTCAGTTATTATTTATATATGGCTATTGAAATATTTCTAAGTCCTCCTTCATCCAAGGCTGTGTATAAAAGTATATACACGAGCAACTGTAACAAAGTGTCTGTCAATGTCATTGTGCCAAAGTGTGAATTGTAGACACCTGCAATTTGATATCCATACTAAGGGAACCCTAGAAGAATTTGCCTTGCAACCATTTGTCCCCTCGAACAAATCATTAATTAGTTTTAAATTATTTAAATGGGTCTTTGTGTTTGAAACATGCAGTGCCATCTTCTCTAATCAGGGCATCTCTTTGCTGTCAATACTATTTGAATTTGTGGGTGGGAAGTAGGAATAGTCTGAGGGCTACCCTCCTGGTGTGAGACAAGCTCCCCCCTCAGTTGAAGGGACCAGACGGGACAAGATGGGACCCCCCCCCCCCGGGAGGCTATACAGGCTCACTATGGCAGGGGGTCACACCTGGGGGATGCCAGCAAGGGTGACGTCCTTCAGATGGGGCCAGTATGTCCAACTTCAGCTGCTGCTTAACATGGTTGGAAGGCTTTGCTGTGTTGCAGTAAGGGCTGCTCTGTGGTGTGTGAAGTGGGTTTGTTGCAGATAAGCAAAGGGAAAAAGTAGGCACTGTTTACAAGAATAAGACATCCAAGGAAAATGTGAAATGGTTTTCATATGAGGGTAAGAAGGAAAAACTACATTGAAATATATGCTGAAATGAATATTTTTGTCTTGTAATTTTTCAGGTGGCTTGGCACTGGCACAAGTCCTGTTTTTTTATGTGAAGTACCTTGTTCTCTTTGGAGTTCCCATACTTGTTATCCGAATGGATGGACTCAGGCCTCCTCATTTACCTCGCTGTGTAAGCACCATGTACAGTTTTTCTGGAATGTGGAGGTTAGCTTTACTTTATTGCTGATATTTATTGCTAGTTTTTTTTTCATGAAATGGCACATCTGGCATGAATTTGCTATGGCATTGTGCTTTTGTGCCAGATGTTCCATTGTGTGCAGAAGAAAACCTGCAAATGGACAAAATTGCACAGCATTGTCATTCATACCTGCTTCTCTTTGTACTCTTTAAAAATGTCCTTCCATTTAATAATTGCTTTCTTCTACTATGGAGGTGAGAAGAAGCCTGCCTTTGGGGTATTCATCATCTTAATGATTGGAATTGGATCCAAAACTGCTTAGCTCCACTGATCTGATAATTATTTCTCCCCACATCTTTATGAAATATGATTCATTTTTCATTATTGTCCCCCTGAAAAAGGCTCTCTGTGTGGAAAATTCGAACAGGGAAGGTTAAGTAACATTTGATTAGAGAATCCTACAGGGAAAGTATTGAGGATGATAATTTCCACTACGCCAAACAAAATGTAATGAGCTCAGTCTAGACAAAAGTAGCTCTCTCTGAGTCTCATTGATTTCAGTGGGCCTTGCTCTGGATTTACATTTCTACTGGGGGAATTTAGAAGTCTGCTGCTATTGTGCATGGTGAATAATTGCAGTGGGAAGGCTTCACTACCTAGAGGAAGGTGAATTTACGTACCTATGTGGGATGGGTATACAGCCTTCTTGGACTAGATGTGCAGTTTCATTGCTTTCTGCAACCTGACTTGACTCATCTTGCAGCTGTACCTCCAAGTGTTTTCTTTTACTACTTTTTATTTCTCATTTGCCAGCTACAGCCTTTCATGGAAGTGTTTGACTTTGTTAGCTCATTTATGCCATGCTAACCTGTTTATATAGGTGGGCCTGTTTTAAATACTGTTCCAAAGCTACTTCTGATACAAAAGTTTGCTTCTGGGTGTGATGCAAGATGCCTACAGGGAACCTATAACAAGAAAATACAGGTGTAGCCCTGCTGAAACAGAACAATGGTCTATTTGGTGCAACATTCTGTTCTCACAGTGGCCAGAGAGATAGTCAGTATTTCTTTTATTTCTGCACCACTCAGTTTTATTTCTGCTGAAGCTCTCTGGGTGGTTTACAGCAACTTACAAAATACAAAATACAATACAGATAGCAATAAAGTGTCATAAAAAGTGGTGTGCTGGTTAAAGCGCTGGATTGGGTTCCTGCGAAATCCTGGTTCTAGTCCTTACTCAGCCATGAAACTCACTTGGTGATTTGGGGTCAGTCACTCTCTCTCATCCTAATCTTCCTCACAGGGATGTTGTGAGAATAAAATGTAGGAGACCTTTGTAAGCCATCTTGCTATTTTTTACAAAGGGAACAATGGTTGGGTATACACGTGATAATAATAAGAATAAGGATAAGAATAGTAGTCACTACAAAATTTAAAAACTGAATTGAAGTTACCTAATAACTAAGACATGTAAAAACAACAAGACTTGTTAAACAACTGATGTAATCTTTCCACGTGCAATTTACAGTGCTTACATCTGTGGCACAGAGGGCAGTCTTAATCTGATCCTGAAAGAACAGTGGAGTTGGCACCAAGTAAGCCTCAGTAGGGAACGTGTTCCACAAATGGGGGCTGCCATTGAGAAGGCCCTCCTCCTTGTTTGCCACCAAGTGTGGTCAAAGTACAACAGCCTCAGTTTCATCATAATCCCTTCCAGGGAATGTCACCGTTTCACTTTCTTTATTGTTGAACATTAAAGTTGTGCAATTCTTATGTAGTCATGGTATTTTTCTTAATATTAAGGTGCAGGTCTGCTTTTCCACTTTCTTCTTTCACTTTCATCAGGATTTTATTTTCAATTCATTGCTGCTTCCTGTCAGTAATACACTATCATCTCTCTGTCTTAAATTATTGATGTGTCTTCCACCAATTTTCACTCCTTACAGATTGAACAGATAGGAAGTCAAAACACACCCTTGCCTGGCACCTTTTCCTTTGGGAAACCATTCTGTTTCTCTGTATACTGTCCTAACAGTAGCTTCTTGTCCACAATAAAGGACAATCAAGTGTTGAGGGGCTCCAGTTACTTTCAGGACCATCCATAGTTTCTTGTGATACACACATAGTTAAAGGTTTTGCTGTAGTCTATAAAGCATAGACCAATCTTCTGAAATCATTGGGACCTCCAGGAGGTAACATATGTTTGTGATGATCTTGAGTGCCTCTACCTTTTTGGAGTCCAGCTTGAACATCAGGTCTCTCTTGCACCATGTAAGGTAAAAGTCTTTACTACAACACCTTGAACATCACTTTGCTTGCATGGGGAATTAGTGCACTGGTCCTGTTGCTGCCTCACTATTTTGCATTTCCTTTCTTGTAGATTGGAATGCATGTTGAACATTTCCAGTCTCTGGGCCATTGATTTATTTTTCATATTTGTTGGCATAATTTTGCTTGGATTTGGACCAACTCAGACTCTGTAGCTTGAAGTAGTTCTATTGTTATCCTGTCTAGTCTGGGCACTGCATTCCTTCTAAGTGCAGCTTTCGGGGCAGCTTTCATTTCACTTGTGAATACTGCAGGTTCTTCCTAAAATTCCTCTTTGAAGGAGTCTATCGTCCTTTCATCTCTTCTGTACAGTTTTTCTGTATATTGTTTCTTCCTTCTCTTTGTTTTATTCTGGTCAGATAGTATGTTCCCTTGTTTGTCTTTCAGCATATTTAATCTAGGTTTGAATTTCCTTTGACTTTTTGGATCTACTGGAAGAGGACCCTTCTTTGTCTACTTTTGTCATTCTCTTCAATTTCTTTGCACTTGGCGTTGTAACAGATCCTTTGATCTTCTTTTGTTGCTAAAAAAATGCATTCAGCATTATGACCCTATTTCTCTCACCTTTTGCTTTTTAACAGAGTGCTTCTCCTATAATCCATCTAAATATTTTCTTTCTTTTTGCCACAGTAATTGTCTTTTTGTATATTTCCCTTGTAATGGCCTTAGTTTTATTCCACAGTTCTTCTGGTTCATGGCCAAGTGAGTTGAGTCTGTTCAATAATGTAAATCTGTTCTTTATGAGGACTTCAAATTCTTGTGGAAAGTTTTCAAGTTCTGTTTTAGTTCTATACTTCTGTTAGCTATCTTTTCAGTTAAAGTACAGTTAATAAAATAAAAATTATTCAAGCTTTAAGCACAATAATGTGCATTTTTGACAGATATATTGGGATTAGGCCATTACTAAAAATATTGGCAATAGATTTTAGAAATGATCTGCACTGTTACAAGTTCTAAATAAAGATAAACCCATTGTTCATGCTGACAGGGCCTTAGAAACAACCAGTCAGTTATAAAGAAGTCCTGTGCTGAAAAGGTTGAGCAAGAATTCTCTGCTTCCTCCAAAGCACCTCAAAGCAAATATCTAGTGGGAGATTCTTACATATATCTGAAATGTAATATCCAGTTCAACCCTAAGGCATTCACTGTGCATGAATGTACAATGCCTATTAACTATAGTACTTTTGGGGTCTACTTATGGAGATGTGGAGATGAACACACTAGCTCTGCCCTCTCTGTCCCTGGGTTCTGACTCATGTAGAGAATCTCCATAGAAAAGAACGATAGTCACTGTCTACATGTGGAGGACGATGGGAATGGTGACTGAGGGGACAGAGTTAGCATTTTAATCCTCACTTGCTCATATCTGGAGATTACATGCTTTTAGAAGGTATGGACAGGATTTCCATTGAGTACAGTCTTGGTTATGGATGGTTGTGAATTCCGTCTTTTATTTTAGCAAATCTCCTTTGCTAGGATGCAAACTGTGTGCGCTTTCCTGGTAAACAATGTATGTTTGTTACTATGTCCTAAGGTGTATTTGTATATAGCTTTTCATGAGAGTTGACAAATACATGCCTTCTTGCCAGTAATGAAGACACATTGTTAACCAGTTCTGTGGTTCTTAGCATTTAAATAGTGATAAGCCTGAGCAACGAGGTGTTGTCTCCATTGATTTTGATGAGATATTATAGGAAAGAGTAATAAAGGATGAAAACGGTTTACCAAAGTGCTTTGCTTTTTCCTTCTGTGGTTTTAAAGAACGAAGTAATGAATTCTGGAAGAGAGAGAGCACCATTATAGCAGCTACCAATGAGCTAATGTAAATTAAATTCTAATGTTTGAGGCTCTCAGTTTTGCTGGTTCAATTACTACAGCTGAAAAAGCTATTTATTTATTTAGCAAATCTTTTCCTTCATGGGTTTGGTTAAGGTTTGCAGATACCACCACATGAACAGTGGTGAAATGTTCTTATGGCATCCCAGCTTGGAGTTTATTTATTTATTTAAAACATTTCTATGCCTCCCCATTCACAAAAAGCCTCGGGGCAGCTTACAAATCAGATACCATTCACACAATTAACCTTAAAAATTTTGGAGACATTTTGGCACAATATAAAACCCAATAAATAATCAATTAACAATTGAAATAACTTTTAAATAAAAAGGTCTTGGCCTGGCACCAAAAAACAAATAGCGATGGTGCCAGGCGGACCTCTCTGGGGAGCACATTCTATAGGTGGAGCGCCACCGCAGAGAAGGCCCTCCTCCGAGTACTCACCCTCCTAATATCTTTCACGGAAGGTTCCCAGAGGAGGGCCTCTGCCGCTGATCTCAGGGGGCAGGAGGGCATATATGGACGCAAGCGCTCCTTTAGATAAAGTTGTTTATCTAAACAACTTTAGATAGAGTTGTTGCCCTGTAGATCATTCATATGTTTAGAAGGATATACATCATAAGAAACCTTGAGGTATAACTTCTGTGTGAAGCACTTGTTCAGCATTCCAGTTGGGCAAGGTCTTCCAGTACCCTTAATGTGCCATTATGAGCAGATGGTAGATCAGGATCTACTGGCTGATCTCTGGTTGATTTAGAATAGATAAGCAGGGCTTTGTGTCTTCCAGGTGGCATGCAGTAACAACAGGAAAGCAGTTTCACTCCCCCCGCCCAACTCCAAATTAACTTGATGAAAAACAATGG